TCTTCCCCCTCTCTTCAGGGCCGGGTCAAGGAGACTTATGGCTTTTTTCTTATTTGTACACCTCGCTTAGCTCCGCCTATCATTCACCAAACAAAAATTATCGGGTCGACGCACCTCCCACCTCGCCTTTCCCCCTCTCCTGCGTCTGCTCCACCACGTCCGGGTCGTTGCTCACGCCGTCGCTCTCTGCTGCGTGCACGCTGTCACTGTTCGCTGCTCCTTCCTCTCACTCTCGCCGTCGCTGTCTGCTGCTCGTCGCCGTTTCATGCCACGTATGCTCGTCCCGCCCTCCTTGACATCGAACTGGACGAGCAAGTCCTCCACGAAGACCTTCCACCTCGCACCACTCCCTCGTCACCGCTCCACGCCAGGCACCCGAACGACGCTAGCGGCTCACTTGGGTTAGGGTTGCCCTTACCAGGTCATGCACAGGCTCAGGTTGTAGATGGCCTTCCAGTTCGCGAACGCCTCGACGACGGCGCCGTCGCCGCGGTCGTCGTGCGGGTAGTGGTAGTGCTTCATAAAGTGCCGCACGAGGAACTTGTGCTGGCTCTGCGCGCGCAGGAGGAGGCCGAGGCCGACGGAGTGGAAGAGGACCCAGCAGAGGGCGTTGGCGAAGTACAGTCCGCGCGTGGCCCCAACGGACAGCGGCGGGAGCGCGGCCGATACGACCATGTAAAATAGGAGGAGGACGAGCTTGAGATCCGATGCCCTTCAAATGCGTGCGCGTCAGCACGCTGTAGTCTTGCCTGAAAGCAGGCGAGAAAGGAACCAACCTAAACAAGTCGATGTTCCGCAAGATGATCGTGTCCTGTCTGAAATATGTATTCATAAGATCGTGCTGGGTAACAAACGCAGATCTATGACGTCTCGTAACGGCCGTAGCGGGGGTGAGCGCAGCGCTCATTTCCGCTTTCTTCATCATCTGCTCTTGCTTCGCGGTGCCCTCGAACTCCGTCTCGGTCTCCGTCTGAAGCTCCTCGGTCTCGGTGGCTGTCTCACCTTCCGTGGCGCTCGGGGTGGTCAGGTCGGCGAGGGAGGAAACGGACTGGGAGCGCGAGCTCGACTCGGAGGCGGGCGTGCGCCTGAGGGGGGTGCGTTGCGCGATGGGCTTCCTCTGCCCGTATGTCCGCTCGATGTCTGCGAAACAAATACGAACGGTCTAGCGATGAGGTTTGAAGGGTGTTTCGGGACTTACGCGGGTTCTCGAAGCCGACCAAGAATCCGAATTGCGCGGCGTGCGCAGCGAGGCTCACGAACAGCACTGGGTAGCTGCCCACGATGAGGGACAACCCGTAATACCCGGCGTATCCTTTAACAACACGTCAGCACAGCGCCTGCACCCATCCCTCCGACACTTACCGACAGAATACATCGGGTGCGGCGCGAGCTCGAAGACGCCGTCGAACACGAGATTCCCGCGCTGGAAGAAGCAGTCGCCCCAGTACCAACCGTAGTCCTTGACGACCCCGTGAGCCTCGGTCTTCACCCACAGGTTGAAGCCGATCATCGCTATTCCTCCGATCCACCTAGGCAACATGAGCACGAGTATATCGAAGGAGCGGTAAGACAGGCGGGTGAGGGGGATTACCTCATTATGTGCACTGGGATGGAGAGGCCGTTGGGGACGCGGAAGCACGAGAATGCGAACATGCAGTACGCGAGGAAGTCGCTATAGGGGAGTGAGCGTGAATTATGGGGCAGGTTAAGAGGAATTCGTACTTGAGAAGTATGATATCTACTACTTGGCGGAAGAGCAGCCATGTATTGTACTCTAGGGGTAAGGCCTGTAAATGATTAATCAAGTCCGTGTCACTGTATTGCGATGAACAAACATCAAACGAATAATCCTGCCCCATCTTCCCTTGCAGCTGCTTCCGTATCCAGTCCCTCATCTTGGGGTTGCGCTTTTCGTCCAGCCACCCGAGGCGCTGGACCTCCTTGACGATCCACCTGCGCTTGCTCTGCCGCGTCAGGACCCAGCCGAGCCCCGCGTCGTACGCGAGCCGCCAGAACGCAAAGTACACGAGAAAAAACGGCTTCCGCAGGTAAGAGGGCAGCAGGAAGAAGAGTAGCAGCTGCGCGCCGAGCAGGGCGAGGTTGAGCAGGTCAAAGTGCGACTTTGGGTAGGCGGGGTGGAAAAGGGTGAGGACGTCGTGCGTTGTGGGGACGCAGAAAACT